AGTGGGGGGGGTGGGGGTGTTTCGAATTGCTGACCTTGTATCAGCAGCGCAAGTCTTAACCCATGATGCCATCAATGATCCTACTATGTATTGATTTATTGTTGTTAGATGCCACTGAGTTGATCTCTACTGACGGTGACGCCCTGGGACAGAGGAGGACTGTCCTTTGAAGTTTTCTTGCTGAAATCTACACAGGAACAGACTGCCAGGCCTTGTGCCTTGTGGGGTCACGGGCTAGCTTCAAACCACCAACCTCTTGGTTAGCGGCGAAGGCCTTCAGTCTGGTTGCACCGGGGCTCCTTCTCCATGGGTCACACTGGCTTGAAACAGGCAGCATGAAATGTTGGGGATTTTAATAAAGTTAAACCGACAATATGACCCTGCAACCCTGCTCTCAGGCGTCTGTGTTTCCCCAAGAGAGATGAAAGCTCACAGGTGCGAATGGTTTAGTGCCTTGTTTCCTCATTGTCCCAAATAGGAAACAGCTGGAAGATCCCTTCCCTGGTTGATGTGTTGCTAACGAGGGCATCATTACAGTGGAATGCAATCGAGCTGAAGAGGGCTGGGGTGCTGTTGGTCACCACAACGTGCCCTGGTGGCGCAGTGGGTAAATGAACGGCTGCCAATCAGAAGGTCCCCAAGTTGCCCCGGCTCCCTCACAGGAGACCAGTGCGCGTTTGTCCCCACAAAGACCGACAGCCTTGGCAGCCACATGGGGCAGCTGGACTTGTCTCGACAGCATTGGGTTCAAGTCAATGAAGGCTACAAGCCATGGGACTTCATTTCTGTGAGCTTTTGGGAAAGGAAAAGTGACAGTCAGAGGGGCCTCAGGAGAAAAGCGTGGCGATCCACTTTGTCTGGAGCATCAGCCACTGAGGACCACTGGCCATAGCTGGCCGGGTGAATGAACTGGGGTCATTCGTTTGGTGTTTGTGTCCTCTCCGGCCGCCTCCGGAAATAGCCCGTGAGGAACTCTTTTTGGTAGAGACTCCCTCCATCTTTCCTAACCCGCCCTGATAATGTGGCGAGCGCTATCCGCCCCTTTAGATGTCCTAGGAGCTTGTGGCCCTGTCTGGAGTCCGTTTTGAATTCAACAGGACACGGAAGTTACGGCGTCCCCGGTTTGCCCCAGCTAGAGCTGGCTGTCCTGCCTGGCTTTCGGACTTTCAGGCTTGTTCTGCGTTTGTCCCCGGCAGTCTTCCATCACAGGCCCCCTTGGGTGCCGGCATAGAGTTTAGTCTGTGCCCTTCCGCAGAAGGATTCGGGACTGCTGGTACAGCATGAAGGGTCACTTAAAATTCCGTGAAGCAGAGTGTGACCTATCTCCCACTTCAAAGGTCAGGCGCACTTCATGTTGGCGTTGCGCATGCTAAGGGACTTTTGCTGACCTGCAAGTCGTTCAGTTCCGAGATCCCTGGCCTCGCTTCAAGGAGCCTTGTCCCAGCTACATAATCCTGATGGTGGGATTTGCGGTCTGTCCCCGTGGATTGGGAGCTTCAAGAAAATCCACCTTCCTTATGCACGGTGTAAGCTCTCTCCCTCTCCTCCGCGTCTCTGCTGCCCTTTCTTTTAATTAAAGTACTCTCCCTCCTAATGCTGGAAATGCGTCCTAAAGGTCGCGCATGAAAGAAGCTGCAGAAATGGAATGCAGCTGATGGTATCTGTCCTCCTGTGGGAGGAATTGGCCCTTTGAAAATGCGTTTCCAGACGAGCCAGTCAGGGTGCAGTGTAGCACCGATGAAACAATGCAACTTTCCTCTAGTTCTTTGGTGCTTCCTAACCCCCACTACCTCATTCTGCCTTACAAATCGGATTAGACCAGAACATTCACACTGCTACAGATGAGAGCCCGCAACGGGGAATCCAGGATAGATAACCCCCTGAGGGCCAACAATGAGAGTAGAGATACCAGGAGGATTAGGGAAGGGTGGGGGGAGAAAGGGAATCGAACACAAGGATCAACCTATAACCCCCCTCCCAGGAGGACAAACAACAGAAAAGTGGGTGAAAGGCAACAGAAGACGATGTAAGATACGAAAATAATAATCTAACTTATCAAGGGTTTGTGAGGGAGGACGGACGGGGCGGAGGGAGGGGGAGAAATGGGGAGCTGGTATGAGGGGCTCAAGTGGGAAGAGCATGTTTTGAAAGTGATGATGGCGGCATGTGTGCAAATGTGCTCGACACCCTGGATGAATGTGGATTGTGATAGGAGATGCAAGAGCTCCCAATAAAGTAAGAGAAAAAGAAAAATGACTTCTTATTTCTCAGTTTTGGTCAGGGTAGGGTCATTGG